CAACCAGATCTGTCAACTCTTGGAACTTTGCCTTGAATGTACATATTTTACTTATGATGGCAAGTTTTACAAGCAAGTACAAGGTTGCGCTATGGGTTCTCCCGTATCTCCTATCGTGGCCAATCTCTACATGGAGAAGTTCGAACTTAAAGCTATCAATAGCTTTCCTGGTACCCCTCCTGCCAACTGGTTTAGATACGTGGATGACACATGGTGTCGGCTCAAGAAGGGATTGGCGGACAGTTTTTCGAACACATTAACAAGGTTGACAAACATATCAGCTTTACTCAGGAGACCAGTCAAGATAACACACTACCTTTCTTGGATGCCAAACTACATGTAGAGACAGACGGTCACATTGAGGTGGAGGTTTATCGTAAACCTACTCACACCGATCAATATCTCATCTTTGATTCTCACCATCCCTTGGAACAGAAACTTGGTGTGATAAAAACCTTGTTTCATCGAGCAGACACCTTGATTACTTCGGCTGAAGCCAGAGCCAAGGAACATACTCACCTCAAGAAAGCTCTATCCAAGTGTGGATATCAACAATGGACTTTTAACAAAGCACTTAAGCCTTCCGACTCATCTAAGAAGACGTCAAGAAACTCACAGTTAGACAGGACTAAAACAGTCAACATTTCCATCCCATACATCCAAGGAGTTTCGGAGAAGATAAGACGTATCTTACACAACTACAACATCGCCACCAACTTCAAACCATGTCGCACTCTCAGACAGATGTTGTTTCATCCAAAGGACAAACTTAGAAACTGTGTGAAATCGGATGTCATTTACAGACTAAAATGTGAAGATCATCAATGCAAAGAAACGTACATCGGGGAGACCAGTCAGCCGCTCAAGGAAAGATATAAGCAACACTGCAGGGCCAGTAACAGTGGATTTTCTTCGGCCATATGGCACCATCTGGACAAACATAAAGGACATTCTTTTCATCTTGAATCAACGGACATCTTGGACCGGGAGGCGCGCTGGTTTGAGCGTGGAGTCAAGGAGGCGATTTATGAAAGACTTTATAAACCATCACTCAACAGGAAGGGAGGACTTAGAGTTGAACTTTCAAGTACATGGGATTCTACTTTACAGCATATCTAGGGACTCACTTATCTTTATCATTACATTAGTTAATACTTTACCATGTGTATTATATAGAATCTATAGAACGCTTGTTGCTAACTTATTATTTGTTTATTTAGAACATAAATACTTTTAGAATTAACGGTGCCGTTCCGAGTTCTACCGCAATTTTGAATATTTCACTGATGAAAGATGCCGGACGGCGTCTGAAACGTCTGACATTATTTTCTTATTTTATCCAGAAGTAAAGATTCAAACTTTTCTTTTTAGTCCCAGTTGTTTGTAAGAAATTTTCAGTAACTTTTGTGACTTTTCCGTTTGGTTTTGCTCGTAGCTGACGTGCTCTTTCATCTTCTTTCTCATCCACTATATTTTTCTCGCCAACCACCTGTGAGACGTTCTGTCTTCCTTGTCTTCCTTGTGAATTTCTGGAGCCCGTACTCTCAGGATGGGTTTCCCGATGCTTTCTCACGTTTCGCTCCATGTACGCTCCAGACCCCCAGTCTGAGTCCACATCCTCCAGTTTGGCACGGAATCCGTGTGCTTCGAGACTTCTGACGCTTTTGCGTCACTTTCGGTGTCTTCATCTTTATCTTCATCATCCTCATCACCACCCTCTTCCTCCACTGCATCTTCAAGATCTTTCAGACCCTTCTCTTTCTCTCTCGAAACAAACTTCATGCTCTTAGGGCAGGAAAACCCCGTGCCTTGGAATCTGGGCAAAGTACAGTTGACCTTGGGTGTGTTGACGTGGGCGTGTTGTAGTCGAACAGCTGGTGAGCCTTGAGGGTGACGTCCTGAGACGACCCGTTGGCTCTCATCTTCGTGGCACGGACCTGCCACTGGAACAGGAACAGATATCTCTCCGTCTTAGTAAAACGTTAAACTTTATTCCAACACACTATTTACAGGGATCAAATTTTCAGCGACCACTGTCGCCTTCATCAGGATAATTAATGACCAATCACTTCACAACGTGATCTCGCGAGAGTTACGGTTTACAAACACGTGACTTTACTCACACGAGACTTTACTGATACGTGACGTAAGCAATTGATCAAAAGTGCCAGGGAGTTTATATCGTCCACCATCTCTATTAAGTGAAGGCTGAAGTGCTCTGATATATATAGCCTCCTTAATGCCTCATAGCAAGTAGTCCTGTTCAGTGTCCAGTATTCTAACTTTGTCCAGAGAGACTGTGTGGCCCGGTGATTCGATGTGGATGTGTTGAGAAACTTCAGATGACAGTGAGCTGGGGCGTTTGTGTTCAAGAAATCTGGTCCTTAGTGAGCGTTCTGTCTCGCCAATGTACGATTCTTCGCAGGTCCCCTGCCTCGTGGTTTCCTGACATGGAATACAGTACACTACGCCACACTTCTCTTCTTTGGGTGTTTTGTCCTTCGGTGCTACGAGAAGCTGTTTCAGTGTGTTGGTGGGTTTGAAGGAGGTGGAGATACCGTGTGAAGCGAAGATTCTGCGCAGGGGTTCTGAGACGGTCTTGATGTACGGGAGAGTGATGCGGCCTTTGTCCTTCTGTTTTGTTGCCGGGTTTCTGTTGTTCTGTTGGGTGGGTTTCGGTGCAGTCGCCTTGTCTATGGCCCATTTAGGGTACCCACAGTCCTTGAGAGCATGTTGTATATGTTGTTTCTCTGTGTCCCTGTCATGTAGATCTGTGATGATGGAGTCAGCTCTGTGAAACAAGGTCTTAACGACTCCAAGCCTGTGTTCAAGAGGATGGTTGGATCTGAAGTTGAGGTACTGGTCTGTGTGTGTAGGTTTCCGGTAGATGGTCAGGCGTAGTGAACCGTCGTCTTGGATCGTAGTGAGAGTGTCGAGGAAGGGGAGGGTTAATTATAAACGTTCTGTCTTGTTCTGCTTCCGATGTGAATTTGATGTCCGGGTCCAAGGAGTTGAGATGGTCGGTGAATTCCTGAGCGTGGGCTTTCTTCAGTTTGGTGTGAGTGTCATCGACGTACCGGAACCACCAGAGGGGCGGATGTGTAGCTGTAGTTATAGCGAGCTGTTCTAAGTGTTCCATGTACAAGTTGCAAACTATGGGCGACACCGGAGACCCCATCGCCACCCCGTGTATCTGTTGGTAGAAGATGCCGTCATACAGAAAGTAGGTGCAGTGTAAACAGACCTCCAGTAGTTTGACGATCTGCGCAGGTGACATTGATGAACGCTGTGGTAAGGTGGAGTCATCTTGAAGTCTGCGTAGAATGATGTCCAGTGCTTTGTTGACGGGAACAGACGTAAAGAGTGAGACGGAGTTCCTCGTCGTCTTCCACTCTACGGTCTTGGATGAGTTCTGCGAATTGCTGAGAATTCACTATGTGGTGTTCCGATTTTCCTACCTTTGGTAGGTGAGTAAAGTCACGTGTTTGTAAACCGTAACTCTCGCGAGATCACGTTGTGAAGTGATTGGTCATTAATTATCCTGATGAAGGCGACAGTGGTCGCTGAAAATTTGATCCCTGTAAATAGTGTGTTGGAATAAAGTTTAACCTTTTACTATGATTACTACCAACACAGATGAACTTTCATGATAATCTCTCCGTCTTCTTGTGGTTGGAGTCGGCAGCGATGGTTAGAGCCGTCTTCCCCTCCCGGTCGGCGGCGTTGATTCGGGCGCCCTTCTCCAGCAGGATGTCCACGCATTCTCCCTTCCCCCTAGCGGCTGCAGCGTGTAGTGCAGTTCGACCTGACGGTGTTGTGGCATTCACGTCGGCACTTGAATCAGATGTAATACAGAAGATGTTAGGGCTTCCTGAATATCACATATTTGTCATCTGAAAGCTTTCAAGACAAACTGATAAACAATAGTAAAGAGAACATTTCTGTTTCTTTTATTACCTCCATGAAAAATGGAGGTATTGATTTTGGCGCGTCTGTGTGTTTGTGTGTGTGTGTGTGTGTGTGAGTGAGTGAGTGTGTGTGTGTGTGTGTGTGTGTGTGTGTGTGTGTGTGAGTGAGTGAGTGTGTGAGTGACTGAGTGACTGAGTGAGTGTGAATGAGTGAGTGAGTGAGTGTGAATGAGTGAATGAGTGAGTGAGTGAGTGAGTGAGTGCGTGAGTGAGTGAGTGAGTGAGTGAGTGAGTGAGTGAGTGAGTGAGTGAGTGAGAACGCACGCATCTGTGTTTGGAAAAAATACATATCACATTTGCCGTATACAATGGGAGATAAAAATCCATCCACCAATCAATACCCGGATGTGACACGTCCGGGACTAACCCGACACCAGCACTGCACATTACCGGATGGGTTGAACGCAACATAAATATGAGACATAATCAAGGAAACTTAGAACGCTACAGGTACGTGGATTTTGTTGTCTTGATTAATTTTTAAAACGTGTAGCAGGGACCTTATGATCCGTAGCATACCTTTTCTAGTACCGTCGGTCATAATGCCGGAGATTCGATACAGACCTACCTGTTCATACGCCAACAAAAAACCAGAAATTAACCTGTTCACATTCCACACACCTGTAGGGGTTACAGACTTTTTAATAAGGAACGCCACGCCTCAAGCTCCTGTCACACAGCCAAATATGTCCTCCTAAACACTGCCGAACTCCCCCAGCCATGGTTAGGAGTGTGTCGGGAGCAAGGTCGGCTGTGGTTGGCTGGTGTTTGGCGAGGCTGGCTGATGACCGGTTTATTACGCCAGCCGAATGTTTCAAAATATTTCTATGGTTGGCTGGTGATCGGGAGTGTGTCAGTAGTGTTCAGTAATTCTATTACTATCGAACGATAGGCGTGACCTAAATCTTGTTAGACTGCTTCCGAACGTTAGTCAACCTTGGTTGGTAGGTAGTTGTGCGACAGCTAGGGGCGTCAGGTAGGCCGAAGAACCAACCACACTCAACGATGAAAACATCAAAAGAGCAAAGCTATTTGTTCCATATAAATGCATAGGGCCGGGATAGGTATTACGTTGAGCTTTTAACATCCACCCCCTCCACATTTTATATCAGATCATTAGGATGATCTATTGAGAAGAGATGCTGTTTCAGAACACAAGAGACAAGACACAGGAGACAAGACAAGGCTCTGATTTATTGTTTTGACTTTTACTTTGATGCAGTGATGTATTTCAATCCTTTTCTATGTTCCCACTGAATCAAAACCATTTGTAGAATGATTGAAAGCTTTCCTTTTTCAAAGTTGTTTCTGTAACAAATGGATGTTGTGATAGTAACAAGTTTAGCACAATATAACCTTTTCAGGGTTTATGATGTCAAATTTTCAAAATATAGGAATCTTGTTTTTTCAGGCCTGCCTTGTTTTTTTTCGCCCTCTCGCATTACATTTTGAGTCTGCGGAGCATGTCATCCATAAAATTTACTTACTGTGGCCTAACCTGCCTAAGAAACACTGCATGGAATGTACACCAAAACTACCTCCAGACCGGATCGGCCGACGCCCGGGCTAAAAAGGGCCGCGTCCTCTGTCGACCACCAGGGCGGAGATTCCGCAACTGGTGAACCACCTCCAAAGAGGTTACGGGGAAGAGAGTATACGTCAATCTATACATGGAATGTCAGAACTCTTTCTCAAACTGGCAAACTGAAAGAGCTGACTCATGAACTAGAAACACACACGTGGCATGTAGTAGGGCTCTGCGGGACAGGGGGGAAGAACAGTGGCGAACAGCTGACAGAGGAAGGTCATTTGCTATACTATTGTGGAGAGACAGACAGACATGCAAAGGGTGTAGGTCTACTAGTGAACACAGATTTTAAAAACACGGTGATGGCATGCTGCCCAGTTAATAGTAAGATCATGTCTATCCGCATGCGTGCTTTGCCCTTTAATATCACAATACTACAGGTGTGCACCAACATCAGACTATCAAATATCTGAACGAACCATTTTTGCTCTAGATCTGCTCACTTTTGTTTTATTACAATAGTCTATTTTTTTTCTGATTATGGAACAATATGAAAACAGGGGTATAAAGCAATCGCCTTATTTACTGTAGACTATATTGTCTGGTATGACTATTGATTTAGTAAGCGATTCTTCCAAGCATTGTAGGTATTCCTGTCATCTGTTTTTCTATAGCCCGGAGACTACACATCGCCAATTCGGCGTTTTTTTCAACGAGGCAGATGAACAACAGTTTGATCTTTGAGACATTCAAACACACAGGCAGGACTTTTGGGACGACGTGAAATTTATCTGACGTGTCACATCCAGCTGTCTGGTATCAAAGACAAGAACTAGGATGGGGATGTTTCGACCAACTACAAGGTTTCTGTTTCTGTTCATATTGAGCTTTGGAGTTGTAACCTACTTGTATATAAGCTACAGTGGACTCAGAAATTCACAGAAAGAGCTTCACCAATACAAGGATTCTGCGCGCGAATTCACCAAGTTCAACCTAAACAAGACAGCTGAGGAAGATAGACATCCTTCAAACACAACTGATGAGGGAGAAGATACTGCTGTGTCGGATGTTTTAGAAAAAGGTAATTACGTCAAGACTACGGACAAGAATAGGGGTCATTGTGTAGCATTTTTGCACCAAATGTGAAATATTTTAATGAAAAAATCTGTTACTTCTGCTTGCAACATATTTGTATAATTATCTCACATTTCTGACATATATACATGTAGTCGGAGCTTAAAGAGCCTTACGAGGCGAACTCATTTTGCGCCACTACCACAAAATACCAGGACATAAACAAACATGGTTACCTGTGTTTCCAGCCCTTAAATACACCAGTATGGTGTACATCTAGTACAACGTTGGTATTTCCACTTCCTGGATAGAAAATTTGCAACTGGAGTTAAGTTGATTCAACTTTTAAAATTTTGAATTGTAATGAAATTACCTGGAAATAAAACTTTTGCATCGTCCCGATGTTACATAATGCAGCTTTAAAACTTTCTTATGGAGTAGACTGGGAACGGTTGGAGAAAGAGCAGTCTCGTCGACTCGCAACGCTGAAGGCATACTGTGCGTCCCAACCGGAGGTACGATACAAAGGTCATTTAATGTTTACTGATTCTTGCAATCTATCTAGTTCTGTCCGATCATACGCACATATAGCTTGGGTACCATCCGGATTTTCGCTACGCAACGCTCGAAAAAATCTTTTCGAGCGTTGCGTAGCGAAAATCCGGATGGTACCCAGGCTAACGCACATACCCACTGACAGCTGTTTTCACAATGATTTGATGATTCGACTGAATTCTATAACTTTCGCTCAATTGGGCTGTGTTACTGTTGTGCTTTCTTAGTTCATGCATCAAGTTCATTCATATACCCCATATATGGGTCTTTATAATTCAGCCAAGTATCTGTTTAACCTGTAAAAAAACTAGGTTGGACTATTTCCGATATGTTTAGTATATGACGTTTATATTTCACTAGTAGCATTGCTCTCAAAGACACAAGACAATTACAAATTGAAATAATATAATTACAACGTACATAATATAATATAATATAATATAATATAATGCAGTGGCGTCGGGTGGTGTAGTGGTTAGAGCAATAGACTGTGAACCGGGAGACCCGGGTTCGATTCCGAGTCGTACCCGGGACATGTCTGAACATGCGCCCCGACGTTGTGCCCCTAGGAAAGGCACTTTACAAGAATTTCCTCACTCCACCCAGGTGTGAATGGGTACCTAACTTCGGTTGGGAAAAGTCGTATTGAGGTCACCTTGTGGTGCCGAATGGCAGCCGCACAGACCCTTGCGACAGTTCCACAAAAATAATTGTGGAACAAATATGTGTGTATCATGTGTATTATTTGATTGTTGTAATTGTTGTGATTTGTATTCGATTATTATGTGATACCCTGCATCAATTCAGCCGTATAAAGGCTGCGACTGCACGGGTACTGTTTGGACAATAAAAACCATATATAAAACCATAAATAATGAAACGGAAAATTTCAAACGTTTTTGACGTTTTTGTTCTTTTTTTAGACATTTCGATCCCAAGGCCTACTTAAGTTCCAGTTACTCTTTTTTGAAAAGATCAAAACAGCATACTGCTTCATCCCGAAAACTGGATGTTCAACTATGAAGTTGTTACTTTACAATCTGGAACATAATACAACTGAAAAGCCAATGCACAAAGTCAATCGTACATCTAAAGACAAGAAACATGTTGGTATTAACGCGAGGAGACTTAGAATGTTAATGGACTACAGCAAGGAACAAGCAGGTTTGCGTCTTTCGACCTTTAAGAAGATCATCGTTGTCCGTGACCCGTTAGAAAGGTGAGTATACACTTGTTTCTTGTGATATACGAGATGACGAACTAGATTCCAAGTCATACCTATTATTTATAAATTATTTATTACGTTTTCAACTGATGTCAATGAATTATGTTTTATTGATTATGCAAATGGGGTCCTCACCTGCATAATTAATATCAGTTGATCATATTCTCCAAAAATGTCAGTCATATATTAACATACGATAGTATCAAAGCATTTCGTCATTAATAATGCAAATGAGGTTCTTATTTGAATAAGATATATTTGATGATGTTCACGTTTACTTGACATTCAAATGCTGTATGAAATCCCTGGCAATTACCATTATGGAACATTGCATTTCATCGTTAATTATAACTTGTATGAATAGCCCTTAATCAGCGTACCTACTACTTAGTATGTAATATTCTGTGTGTGTGTGTGTGAGAGAGAGTGTGTGTGTCTGTGTGTGTGTGTGTGTGTGTGTGTGTGTGTGTGTGTGTGTGTGTGAGTGTGTGTGTGTGTGTGTGTGTGTTATAATGGATATGGTTGGGTTCAGCTTGTTCCGGAGGAGAAAGTTATTAGGCATTATTACATCTGACCAGCATAAGCTTACTGCTTTCACATGTGTTATTTGTAACAAGATCTCCTTGACAGTTCCTGACTCTGCACAAAATAGAAGGGGAATTATCCTTTTATTCAAGAGAGATTTTTAACCCCTCTTAAAAATTGTGGATGCAATACATTGACCTGTGGATACAAAATAACGTTTACACAAGTTTGAATATATCAGGAGGTCTGAGATCTACACATTCTCGTCGGGTGATTGTTGTCTGTCTCCCAGGTTGGCATCTGTGTGGCTCGACAAGTTCGTCAACAGTGAAGTACGTAAATCGTGGACGGCGAAATACTATCAAGAATTAAGACGGAGTACGAATCAAAAGCCAACAAACAAGGTGAGGAAAAAAACCTTCTCATTTTGGTTAAGTGGGCAAATGAAAAAGAAATGTACCTTATATTCCAGAACAAAAGTTTGAGCAACCACCAACCAACCAAGGTTGGTGGTTGCTAAACCAAATTTGGACAATTGGTGATTGCAATTATATATCCTTTTTAACAAAGTTGAGCTCTATATTGCTACAAGTAAAAACAAATTGTAGAAGCATCTCGGCAAATGGGGCGGATTTTGTTTTTAAAATTTGTGTTTTAATTTGTTGGATTCTGTGTTGTATGTTGTCAAGTTGGATGGTTCACTTCTTTTGTTCTTTTCTTTTGTTGAATAAAAAAAACAAGGTTGACAGACGAGAGCAGTCTGACCAGATTTAGGCCACGCCTATCTTTCTATACGAATCGAACAGAAGCCGACCTATATGATATAGCCGAACAACAGCTAACTAAAACCGAACTTGCTCCCGACTGCTCCTAACCTATGGCAGTATTCGGGAGGCCATATCCGGCTATGAGTTATCGGTTAACATCAACCGTCATTATTTTATATACTATAGTCAAGTCAAGGTACAGGAGGAGGGAAGCACAACAATACACAACCAGTGTCGTTTGAAGATTTCCTCACCGCCGTTTCGAAGCATACAATGTACGATGTGCACTGGGAATCATTTTCCAAGCTATGCCTACCATGCGAGGTACCTTCTTACACACTTCTTTTTTTTTTTATAAATCATTATTTTTATTGTTTCCAAAATTCACACAAAAGAAAGCATGGCACAACGAAACAAAATGAAACCACATGCATAACTACACAACTAAATAAAAACCAGTAAACAATATAGATGATATAACAGAGTGTTACAAAGTATAAAAAAAAGTCAACCCCAATTTCAATTTATTTATAATTTCTTCAAGGAGATGAAAGTAGACCTATTAGCTTTCCCCATTTTCCCCTGTGTTTTTTTGTCTTGCCCACCCGATTGGAAATAATGGTTTTTAACTTAAAGTAATATGTTACATAAGAAATAAATGATTCTATGTTAAGTGACCAAGGTCGATTTTTAAATATAAAATATTTTCCCAAGAGAATAATGAGATTGGACAGGACTGGGCACCGATCGTTCAAATCCCCCAACATAACATTACAAAGACTAACATGTAAATGGTAACCAGTATGGCTTAAGTACCATTCTTCCACCTGTTGCCAAAACAGTGCAGCAAATCTACATTCCCAAAATAAATGCATGGGAGACTCTTCCTCTTCCTTACAGAAACTACATAAAGGGGACTCTATTAACCCCCACCTGTGTAACATTTTATTTGTAGTTAAAAATTTAAATAGTAATTTATATTGGAATATACGCATGTGGGAGTCAATAGAGGTTTTATAAATTAAACTATACACTTTTTTCCACATCACTGGAGTATTCAAATAGTCTTCCCAATAGTATTGTATTCTGTCGGAAGATTCCCATAACCTAGCTTCATGCATAAAAAAGGAGTACAGATATTTGTTGATATTCGATTGCTGAAGCCAGCTTATGTCTCTACAGACAGGAACACATACGCTTAAATTCGGTGACACCTGTTTCAAGAGATTCTTCCAGGATAAGGGAATAGCTGAAATAATTTGATTATACACAAATTCCGAGCAGGTGTCACCAAATTTCAAAGCATAATTTTCAAAAGACAGAAAATTATTTGCTGAGTCTAGAATGTCATTCACAAAAAGAATCCCTTTGCTATAAAGAGACATTAAAAAGCATGGTTTTCCACCAATACAGATTTGGGAATTCAGACAAAGTAGTTGCTGCTTTACTTCAAGGGCATTCTCAGGGGGGCGTAGCTGGAACTTCAGCCATGCTTGGAGGATTTGTCTATAAAATACACTGATTGGAGCCTTCTCTTTTATCAGCGCTTCAAAGTCACTAATTGTAAACTGACAAAAGGGAAATGTATTCGTAGTAAACAAAGGGCTAGAAAAAAACAACAATTTAGAACAAAACCACTTTTCACTATGGTATAACTTCGGAACCCAAGACGCCTTCATGGTCAGATCAACAGCACGCAAGTTTCTAAGTTTAAGACCCCCATGTTCATATAGAATACAACACGGTGTATTCCGTATCACCCGAGGTACCAGCCCGACCGCGCGTCCGAGATCCGATCCGCGGGAGGGCTGGGACCGAGGGTGATGCGGAATACACCGTGTTGTATTTTATTTATGTCATACCCACCCAAGAAAACGCGCCTTTCAATGCAAAATGAGCGAAAATTTGGTGTCCCTAAACCCAAAAAATGCGACAACATCAATTCCAACGTCCGAATTTTGTATTCGAATTTCGAAATCGGTGCCCGCGGTTAGACCGAAACGCGTTCGAATCGTTCCACGGAACATTTGGAAGGCCCGGGCCGTACGCGTAAAGAACCCCCGGGCTGTACCGCTAGTTATCACACGGGCCGGAACACCCGTATCGAACGTAATCGCGGCCCAGGTAAGACATAAATAAAGATTATATAGTGTTTTCCTTTTTACTCGTTCTGGACCCCCTCCCCACAAAAACTGAAATATTTTTTTCTCGTATCTATCGAAAAAGGCAGGAGGTGGAGACGGAAGAGACTGAAATAGAAATATAAATTGTGACACTACTAACGAGTTAATAAGGGTAATCTTCCCTAAAAGAGAAAGAAATTTCCCTTTCCAGGGATTCAAAATTTTATCTATCTTTGTCTCTTTTCTGTCAAAGTTAATATTTACAATATCAGCTAAGTTTTTGGGAATATGAATCCCTAAATTGTCAAAAGGGCCGTCGGTCCATTTTAAAGGTAAGGAACTGGGTAAGAAAAAATTGGTATCTCTTAACGAACCTATACGAATTATCATGCATTTATCAAAGTTTGGAGTTAAACCAGACAACAGTGCAAAATCTTCTAAGTCTTTCACTAACGCATATAACGAGGAAAGCTTTGGGACAAGGGGAAAATTCGAATTATCGGCATATTGTAAAATCTTACTTTCAAGACCATATGTTGTTAGACCCTTTATTTCCATGTTATTTCTTATTTTGATTGCAAGTAATTCTACAGCTAGCACGAACAAATAAGGGGAGATGGGGCATCCTTGCCGGACTCCACGGTTCAGGGGGAACGCATTAGAAATATAGCCATTATTAATAATTTTACTGAAAATATCTTTATACAAAATTTTTACCCATGCAATAAAATTATCTCCAAAACCAAAATATTCCAAAACCCTAATGATAAAATCTTGTCTAATTGTATCAAATGCTTTCTCAAAGTCGGCACAAAATATTAATCCGGGAAGTTCATTTTTATCGTAATATTCTATAATTTCTAGCAGTCTTCTTATAGTATCACCAATACTTCGTCCTTTCATAAAGCCAGTCTGGTCAAATGAAACAAGATCGGGGATGACATTTTTTATACGAAGGGCCATACATTTAGATAGGATACGGGTGTCGCAATGTAATAAAGTGATGGGTCGCCAATTTTTAATGAAAGAGGGGTCTTTATCCTTTCCCGAAATGAATAATTAAAAGAGGCTAACAGTGGTTGTTTAACACAGTGAAAAAAGACCTTATAAAATTCAACAGGAAGGCCATCCAGACCGGGTGACCTTCCTGAGGAGAATGACTCAATCGCTTTTTGTAATTCAAATTCTGTTATCAATTTTTCGCAGCTATCGCACTGGCCGGGGGACAAATTCACTGGTGGCGGTTGAGGAAAGAAGGGTCTAAAAACATCTCTATCTAACGAAATAGGGGGCTCTTTAAATGAGTAAAGGTCAGCATAAAAACCTGTTTGATGTACTAAGACATCCTCAGGATCAAGGACAACAGAGCCATCTGACTTAACAAATTTTGTCATGTTATTTCTTACCCTCCCTCTACCATTAAGATTCATAAAGAATTTTGTACATTTTTCCCCTTGTTCCATCCACCTGGCACGTTTGCTCATTATAAGGTTATTAGATTTCATTTGGTAGAATAATTCTAATTCCTGTTTTTTACACTGTAACTTGTCAAAGATTTCATTATCGGGGACTGTGTCTAATTCTTCCTGCAGGCTGTTGATCTCACACGTGAGAGAAATCTCAGTATTCCGACTTTGTTTCCGACTTCTCAGATTTCCAAGACGAGTACTTAATTACATGGCCGCGAACGGCACACTTGAAGGCTTTCCATACTATGTGGGGATTTGCCGTATTCTGATTAAAAAGGAAAAACTCATGCCTGGCATGCACTTTAGATACTCTTAATTAGCAGCTGTCAAAAAAAAATTATTCAGACCTAGTTGTGAAGTCAGCCACTTTTTAATGCAAATTTAAAGCCACAGGTGGTGCACATTCACCATTCATTACAGAGTACCAGAAATATATACAAAAAGTTTGTCGACAATAACACTGCCAGAAAATACAAAATTGAAACATATCAAAACAAGAGTTCCACGATCTCATACCTTCGCCAAATGATGTTAACCCTTGCGGGTGACGAATTATACAATCATTGATTTTGTAAATAAGAGCCTCATTTGCATGGATTATATCAGTTGATCGTATTCTCCACCCAATGACAGCCTTATCTTAACATAAAGGCTATTATTGCACTTCCTCATAAATTATGCAAATGAGGTCATGATTTGAATAAATTACGTTTATTGATGTTCACCTTCACTTAACTTTCAAATGTGGCAAGTATGAAATTCTCAGCAGTTAGAACTATGAAATTATAAAAAAATTGCTATTAATTATGCAAATTAGGTCCTCATTTACATAATCTATATCCTCAGATGTTTTTCTCGTTCTCAAGTAGATGTCACAAGTGTTTCATAGTTCTATTATCGAACAAAGCAGATTTATAGAATTTCCTCATTAATTATGCAAATTATCTTCTGATTTGAATAATTGCCATCTGATTATGTCAAGCATCACTTCAACTACCTACATACCAAAAATCACGACAATACGTCAACCGGTTCTTGAGTTATCGTCCTTCAAAATTTTTTCAACAAATGCTTCTGCAGTTCCAGAACAAGGCACTAGGGGACCCAAACTCATGTCACTTCTTCCCTACCCCAAGATCTATCTACCAACCAAACCCTAGCATGTCCAGAACATGATATATCAAAACCGGAAGTTCAGCTGCAGTACCTAGGAAAGCCGCCAGGGGGCCCAAAATCTAATCATTTCTAGGTCGCATGAAGACCTACCCACCTACCAAGTTTCATTCCAATCCATCCACTGCTTCTCGAGTTATCTTGCTAAACCACACACACACACACAAACACACACACACAAACGCTACTGAAAACATAACCTTCTTGGCGAAGGTAAAAAGTAACCATACTTAGTATTCTCATAATATCCTGGTGCAGTTTGATAACCGTCTAAAGTTTGTAATATCATATTCATAACAGACTCAAAGTCAAAGAAAATATATCAGAGACCAATCACACATCTCTTTTTGACAGCACAATGTCAACTGCATCAATTCTTCTCTTTTCTTTTCCGTTGACAAGCAATACAGCATAGGTATCCTTGGCAGGTACAAGGATAGATACTTTATTGTTGTTGTCTTTAGCAAGTTCAGCGTTTCTTTCATTTACAAGCTGCGAGCGCGCCGTCTGTAGGGGTGGGGGAGGTGTTCATAAACTGCTAACCCACGAGAGTTCCCCCTTAGCCTGCGCCCAGCAGACAAGACTTTATCGCGGTCCTGGAAGTTGACAAAGCGTGCGAGCAGGGGCGGGTTGGGACGCGAGGTAGTCGGTCTGGACAGTCGATGCACTGCGGCGGTCGGCATAGCGTCCGCGGTCGGTAGGTGTAGCTCCTCCGCCAGGAAACGTGACAGGACCCGCGCAGAGTCTTCCTCCTTGTTGAAGGGCAAACCTCTAACGATCACATCCGGCTTCATAGAGTATCTTTCGGTCAATAAGACTGCCCTTACCCTCTCTCTGTGTTCCTCGCGTAAAGCATCGCGGAGAGTATCCAACTCGCCAGAGTAGAACTCGGCCGTCTTCTCTAACTCCCGTACACGTTCACGTAGCATGTTCACCTCACTAGACAGGCCATCTACTTTTACATCCAAACACTGGATTTGGCTCTAAAGCCTATCTCCAACAGCTTCTTGTTGTTTTTTGGTTTGTTCTAAGATGACACTGGCAAGATTTTGAAGTTCTGGAGAGAGCGAAGACAAACTCACAGTTGCAGTTTTTTCGGTGGACGCCATCTTAGGTGTTTTCGTGGGAGGGGGTTCCGTTGAGTGGGGCTGGATTCCTCGGCACTCGCGCTGCTTCCAGAGGTCCTATTTCGCTTTCCCATCCAGCCAAAAAGGACAGCAAGACACCACAGAAGATCTGGTACAGATAGCGCGGAGTACACGGCGTAAAAATGCAGTTTAAACGTGGAAGATGTTCAAAAATGCGGGAGCTTGGCGCCCAACGTCAGTCTTTCGCCGCCATCTTGGATTCTCTTACACACTTCTTATACACTTACTCCAACTTTTACCTGGACCTGTTGCACCCCCCCCCCCTAAAGTTAGTATCAGTCCAATTTAAGTAACCAAGGTGAATAATTATTTGAGTCACACGTCACCCAACCAGCTGTTCCCAACGTGGCCCCCGGCCAGTTTTTAAAAAAAATGCATATCTTGTGTGCAAAGCATCATTCAAGTGTGATAATGCTACATGCTTTTAACAATGACATTCTAGTACGTCGACAATTTAACTTTTTACCTTCGATAAGAAGGTTATGTTTTCGTAGCCGTTCGTGTATGTGTGTCTGTCTGTCTGTCTGTAAACACGATAGCTTGAGAAGACTTAAATGGATTGACTTCATATTTGCTAGATGAGACCTCGAAATGATTAGATTTTGGTCCCACTAGCGGCTTCTTATGGTACTGCAGCTGAAGTTCCGGTTTTGATATCTCGTGATCTGGACGTGCTAGGGTCACAAAATTTGTATGGTAGGTAGCTCTTATGGTGGGGAAGAAGTGACATAGGTTTGGGGCCCCTAGCGGCTTACTCAGGAACTGCAGGGACATTTCTTTGAAAATATTTAAAAGAGGATAACTCAAGAACCGGTGGACGGATCGTCGTGATGTTTGGTATGTAGGTAGCTTAAGTGACGCTTGACATAATTATGCGACAATTATGTAAATCTGGATGTTATTTGCATAATTAATGAGGAAATTCTATAAATCAGCTGCATACATTATAGGACTATTCAAGCTTGTGACATGTAATTGAGAACAGCATGTAATTGAGAACGAGAGAAACACAGGCAGATATTGATTATTTAAATTTACACTTAATTTGCATAATAAATGAGAAAATGTTATAATCCCATAATGGTAACTGCCTGTAATTTCATACTTGGGGTATTTGAATGTTAAGTGAAGGTAAACATCATTGACCATAACTTATTCAAAAAAGGACCTCATTTGCATACTTTGTGAGAAAATGATAGAATGGCTTTCTTTGTTAAGATAAGGCTGTCTTTTGATGGAGAATTTGACCAACTAATATAATTTATGCAAATGAGGATCCTATTTGCATAATCAGGAGGAATCATCTTTGTCAGTCATAAAGATAACATCATTTGACGAAGGTATGGTTACTAGTTATATATAACTTTTTAAATAATTTCTTTACTAATTTTTGCATGCTGTGTATTTAAAACGGAAAAAAATATCAAAATGAAAATTAAAGTGCTATGAACAAAAAACAACTCACCGGAATTTTCGACCGAATTTCTCATAAACGGAACAGGAGGGGCGGTACCGACTTTCGACGAACTTCGACCTGGTGCTGACGTCACAAGGGGAAAATTATATGTATACAGGACTTGGGTCAGATAGATGATGAGGACCGAGAGATTCGTTTGAGAACAGTTTAATTTCCAATATGTATGTAAATTATTCACTAGCTCAGATAAACTTTTATGCAGAAAAGTCCATTAGTGACCACCCCTCTTAGAGTTCTAACAAAGATTTTCCCGTCAGATTGACTACGACTTCATCGCCCACACCGACACGCTCGCTTCAGATATTCGACTGTTTTTAAAGAAGAACAACGTCACGGCGAGGGAAGACATCCTACCGGAACATCAACTCAGACGGGCGAACGACGAAACTGTTTTCGGCGACGTTTTCGGCCAAGTCCCGAGAGAAAAAATAATGTCGATTCGTAGAATCTACCAGGAGGACTTTGACATGTTTGGATATTCTTTTGAAGAAGATTTGGCAAAGATAGACAAGGCACGGGGATAGTCTAGTGTCATTTTGTTGCTATAATAATTAAGTTTTTAGGTTATACAGCTGTACTTTGGCTATGTGTAAACGCTATTTAGGGGTATTAAGACTGGACGATTGTTTTAATGTAGTACGTGTAACCAATTCCATTTCATAGCAAACTGATATCTGTGAGACAAAAATGCGATATCGCTTCATATCGGTTCTAGCTATTTATTGGTGGTATAAAAAAATAAAGGGACTTTTGACACATAGCTTGTTTCTGGGCTATTTCAAAATGCTTCAAGTATGAAATGATGAATGAAAAGATTTCCTTATCCAGAATGGGTTTTTTTTGCCTCCCAGAAATTGTATTGCATGCTTTCAACATTCTTTCTTGCAAAGACTATGTGAATATGTTTAAACGACCCTGAGGATGAAAAAAGACTATGCTGTGTAAAGAATAACACAACCGCTTTTGTTTATACATATTTTCTTTTTAAAATTGCCCTACACGTAACGTTACATGTAATTGTCCCTAACAGAGGTACATACAAAACTTTTCAAAAGAAATTTACAATGATAACGAAGGCGGAGCTGCAAAAAACAAGCTGAGGTCCTACAGACTGTTGAAGTCCGCATATACTGAAGAACAGTATCTGGGTACTGATCATCTACGGCACAACTCTCTCGCAGAACGCCCCTCGGAAATTGATGCGTATTTCGTGGCCTGTGCTGTACCAACCAAAACACTTGTTCATACTGTCAATATGGAATGGCTTTGAACAGGTGTTAATTGAGTTAATCGAATCAAATCCAACAGCCAATCAGCAAGAAGAATAGAGGAATGCTGCATGCCTATTGCTTGCTTGCTCTACATGCCATTCTGATGACTCTTGCCGAAATATAGTAACATACTGCTATAGTACATTTTCTATAACACAGCCAAAAAGCTCAATTAAAACCATTCTAAAAGCATGTATCACAATTTTTTTTTAAAATCACCTAGGGGTATTTGCCCACTCTACCTTCATGTCAAATTTCATGTTATTTGGCCCAAAAATGAAGGAGTTGAATCGATTTAATGAAATGGCAGGAGGAGAAGAAGAAGAAGAAGAAACATGAGGAAAGACAGTATTTCACTCCATACTAGTATGGAGTGAAATAAATATAGTAACACACTGCTATAGTACATTTTCTATAACACAGCCAAAAAGCTCAAATAAAACCATTCCAAAAGCATGTATCACACAAATTTAAAAATCGCCTGGGGGTATTTGCCCATTCTACCTTCATGCCAAATTTCATGTTATTTGGCCCAAAAATGAAGGAGTTGAATCGATTTAAAGAAATGGCAGTAGGAGAAGAAGGAGGAGAAGAAGAAACATGAGGAAAGACAGTATTCCACTCCATACTAGTATGGAGTGAAATAATAAAAATTCAAAATAATGCAAATTCTAGGACTTCAAAGTCGGAGGGATCTAGGTGTTGCATGTCCGCAGTGGTATGTTTATGTCGATCAGAACAAGTAGTGTAAGTTGATTCATCCATAGTCTTGTATGTAGGTCAATTCTTTTGTACCAACGTGACTGTATTTTGTTAACGTTTGTTTCGCATAACCGTAAAAACGCCTTTTTAGGCGTAACACACCAGTTTTGTACATGTACGTACATGTACAAGCTGTGTAAGGCCAGACTGTAAGGTTTGAACCACTCACACCGGGAAGGTCCCCTACTCTTTTCGATCAGTGCGGTGGGTTCTTTGACGTGCGTGGGGTGTGGCTCTCCCAAAAACGGGACCTCCATTTAAGGTCTCGGACCGGAGTTTCCCTCCGTATTTCGAGCAATTTGACACCCTCAGCCCGACGGGCTGTCATTTCTGTACTAAACGCGGGTCGGAATTTTTCTACTCTTTTGGTGGAAAGGGGTGCCGTGCCGCTTATCAATACACTTGATTGATATTTTCTGCGCCCAATTTATTTAGGGGTAAATAAGGCACATCAAAGTACATTTTTAAAAAAGGGGTAATTTTTTTCGTCATTTTTAACCACGGCTGCATGGAAAAAACGAATTTTCCCAGGGTAACGGCTTAGTACTCGAAGAAGCTCAGAACCTAATGTTTACAAAATTTGAATTTAATTAAAATCGATGCGATAAGTTTATCGCTATCTTCGATGGCCCGAACACACCCATAACGCATATAGAACGTACAATCCCGGCGGTCAGGCGAAAAGGCCACATAACCATCCGCGCGGACGAATACCAGGAAGTCTTCGCTGGACCACCAACATTACGCCACCTATAAAGGCTACAACTAACAGGCTTTTCAGAAAATACAAATATATGTACACAGATATTACGATTTCAGGGATATCGCGGCCAAAACATACCATTCAAAGTCACGTTTCCGGCGATTTACTGCGCACTTACTTAGACTCTGGTCAGAATTAAACTCCGACCCGGAACCTTAACGTCCTATCCGAGGGACGTCCCTAACCGAAGATAGGTACTCATTTACACCTGAGTGAAGTGAGGAAAGTGCCTTTCCCAAGGGCACAAGATCGGTGACATGGGCAGTTTTCAAACCCGCGACCTCTTAGGTGTGAGCCGAACGCGCTACCGACTGCGCCACACGACCCCACTATGTATGTTTAGATAAAGACATGACTAACGTTTCTGTACTTTTGTTAAGGCAACGAAGGTCTTTATCTTGTGACGAAGGCCCGTATAAATAGACTAAAACTAAGAATGTTTACCCAAGATATACCACGTCAATACATGTACTACAAGCCACCACATTTTATTACATTGAAACTACTTTACAAACTAGGTGGACTGTTACAGAAAATGACAGCTCGGAACAAGTGCGATGATGTTCGTCCATCGTTGTAAACTGTACGTATGTACATAACAACAATTCATAATTCAATCAATGGGTCATTGTGTATTGACAACATTATACTAACAATAGAAAAGAACTACGTAATGATCTCGTATTCTATCGAGATATTGATATACCAAATGTCACTGCACAGACGACCATTCGAAAGTGGGAAGATGGGGTTTGGCCAAACTGGCTCATACTTTGTATGTATAAAAGGTGTGTGAGGCTATAAACAGTCATGTGATTGCCCCCCCCCCCCATCCTCCTTTTTGCGTTTGCAAACGGTCGCAAACGCAATAAGATGACTCGGAACCTTGGATCTGTTTTTGATGGTAGGTCAGACCAAACAAAAAATAGTAGCCCCTAAAAACAAAACGATAGATAAACCGCTCTACCTGGTGAGACAACTATGTCATCTCAGCCAGGTAAGCATAAGGACCTGTTTTTTATGGTAGGTCAGACAAAACAAAAAATAGTAGCCCCTAAAAAGGGGCGCACAAAACGATAGATAAACCGCTCTACCTGGTGAGACAACTATGTCATCTCAGCCAGGTAAGCATAAGGACCAAGGCATCGGCTATGATATCGCCTCTGCGCAAAGACACACACACAGGCACACACACACACACACACACACACACACACACACACACACACATATACACATATAGACACACTCGCGCGCCTACCAAACAATGCCTCCTTGGTGAAATCATATTTCCAGCTCAGGCTAGCTTCTGATTCTTGTCGCCAGCTAATACAATTAAACGTTGCCCACCCGCTGGTGACGTCACAGTAAACATAGCAGCCGGTTCGGAACCTGTCGAAAATATTATTTTGAGAAGCGACCAGTGCTTAATTATCCTGATTACACATGGTTATTTCAGGGCTTTGAAATATTTGCATTGTTCAGTTCAACCGTATCTTTTAAATTTAGTCTTCCCATCTATTTTCTGTCTTTTAGGATCCCGTAGTTGTTACAGTATTTTTGTACATAGTAAGTTTGGCTGATTTAGTCTAATTCCCTATATACAACTCTTGTTCAAATTGTAAGCTTTTGCATGTAATTTTAAACAATACACCTGTTTTAAAATGTAAGATAAGATTAAAATGCAAATTTCTTCGGCTTGACAGCTGAGTACTTAGTTTGGAAGTTGCATGATGCCCATTTTATGGGCGAGAAACAATTTCGCCCCGAAGAAATATAATACTATTAACTTATCGATGATGATAATAATGATGATAATGATAAATATGAAGGATAAGGTGAACACTATGGCCTGTTACCACAGTTATTAAGTGTCAGACATATGTACATATGTACTGACATTTGTATAGTTGCATACGAATAACAATGACATGAGTCTTTTTTGAAAGGCTGTCAGAGAGTTTTTTTGTATAGAAATGACTTTTGATGCTAATCTAACAACGTTAGCTCTAAAATTACCCCCAAAAAAGAGGTTCGGCGTGTCCTTGTTTCTTCGTGATGTTGAAATTTTTTTAGTTAGAAATGAGTTTGTTTTATACAGCAGGATCAAAGCGCATGCCATAAGAAATATGAGCTAGTCAAGGATTGAAAGTATGGAAAAGCTCTTGTAATATAATTTTGATAAATATTATTAAAAAATATTATTCTATCGTTGCTATATAGAATACAATCTATAACGAAGTGACGTCATCTTCTATCTTCCACCAAGCTACACAATTGACAAATTCTTTGCTCCAGAGCTGTGCGGTGCCTTTCTGATTCCATACGGAGTTTATGACAGCTACATGTAGTTCGTGGTTTAGTGATGATAGTTATTTGACGTTCGCTTGGAATTTTAAGATATTCTTCTTTATCCTGGCAAATTTAGATAAGCCGTACGAGCGCAGTTCGTTCTTTGTGTATTCATGTTTGTTGTCTTTATGCATTTTGCGTAGAGATATCTAATATCTGGAAGTAAATGACGTACGTTAAGGAATAAAGGAGATAAATAAATTATAGCCGCGTTTATACCGCTTCTCATATCAAGAAATGAATTTAATGACGCCATAGGTAGTGTAAGTCTGTACAAAATGTAGCCTCATCTGGGATGAAATTTCACCACCGCGATGTATGTAACGTTATCATCGCAGTCTTTTTTTTACAAACCCGTTTAGAAAATCAGCAAATCTTCAAATTGACCAGGGAACGTTGGTATAAATGAAAGGGTGACGAAATTGGCTATTACACTATGAAATCAGCTAGTCGGATACAATTGAACTGTCAACAAATAGTCACAAATAAAGTTAACTCACCAAAACATGCTAATGTTTGGAAGGCCATAGCGTTGTGTGCCATTTTGCAATGCACACTATATGCAATGAATAAAGTGTAAACATTATGTAGGTCTGTACTTTTGTTGTACTAAGGCCACGCTGATGTAATGTTATGGGTCATCCGCGCGCGCACTGATTTTCGCCCGTTATAAAAAAGTTGGAGGGCTCTAGCCAGGATGCTATATGTATCCTCCGTTGTTTATGGTAGCTATGTAGCCGGCGGTGACTACGGAGGCACCTAGTCTACCGAAAACCACGACACTAAAAAACTTTACAGAGCCGACTCATAAATGCCAAAAAGGCCAGCATGTGCCGGCTTGTCTTGTCGCTATGTACGCAAATCCACACTTACCAGCTTTGCATTCCTGTACTTTAGCAGCAATGTTTTTTTTGGGGGGGGGGTGGTTGGGGCTAGCGCGCACTACTTGAAATTATGTCATCTATAAAATTAGGTCAGTGTGGCATAAAGGAAGCTGTTAACGTTTACACCTATTGAACGGGGGTAAGTCGTGAGCAGACATATGTTTTGTGATCTCAGAGATTAACGTAACCTGTGGTTCGACTGAACCTGCTATATGTATCACCATAATTAAACACCGTTTGCTGCTCAAAATTCATTTTGGGAATGGGTGCACTGGCGCACACAGCCTAAAAAAATTAGGTAAACAAAAAGGTTATTTTCTGGGTGCACTGTTATAAAATCATATAACCACGATATGACGTCATTCGAACCGAACGGGGGTTCGATCCGGGGTTACCCGCGGTCATTTACAGTAAACCCGCTACAACCCGCTACTTCAAGCCCGTTTTTACATGGGAACCACCGAACAGGAAAAAAATCCACCTTCCCACAAATATGAACCGTTTTGAAGACATTTACATCTACGCCGTGATTTTATTGTGGATATTTAACATCTGAACGGAACTGCTGACATTGTCGTGGGTGACCTTGAAAGTCAGAATTCTTGTTTACGTCGTTATCCAAATCATGTCTTCACATCCAGGTAGCGTGGCATGCGTGCAAACATGGTATTTTAACCACTCCCAAAAATCGTTCAAATTACCTCATTGACGGCTTGTAAGTAAATGACTTTGACTTTGACTTTATTGGGATCCACATTTAGCTTACAACAAATGTAGCTATTCTTCCTGTGGTCCTTCAAGACACACATGACACATGACATATTTACAAAACATAAATACATGGCAATTACAACATATTAAAACAGATTAAAATAAAGCTATATACATATACATCATCACAACTTCATATCATTCCAGGCACTGGACATTCTATACAAAAATCTTCTTTTCTGTGCATTTGTTCGAGGTTTAGGAAGGCGGATGGTCTGTGAGTCTGATGTTCTAGTATGGTAACCATGTGACTGCATAGTGATGTTCTTATACAATGATATGGGTTGTTTTCCTTTCATTATCCTACGGAAAGTTCTCAGTCCTTTCTGGTGAACTCTGTCCTTCACTGGTAGCCATCCCAGCTTCTCTAGCAACCTGTCCTTACTTGTGTATCTGTCGCATCCCAGGGCAAGCCTGGCTGCTCTGTTCTGTATCACTTGCAGTCGCTTTATGTTCTTCGCAGATGTGCTGGCCCACACTGAGCTGCAGTAGTCAAGATGTGTCAGTACCAGGGCTTGAATGAGTTCTATCCTGTGCTTCGGCAGAAGTGATTTTCTCACCCTGCTCACTTGGGCCATGCTCCTATTGCACTTCTTCACTACAAGGTCTATGTGATCGTCAAAAGTGAGGTTCTGGTCAACCTGCACTCCCAGAAGCTTGACAGTGGGTACCTGCTGTAAACTCTGCCCCCTGAGCTCCAGTTGTAGGGGAGGTGCAAGTCTGGTCTTTCTTGTTGTCCCCACTAGCATGGCTTTGGTTTTGTCGTTGTTTAGTTTGAGCATGTTGTGATCTGACCACTTCGCTACACATTCTAGATCTACAAGAGCCTTTGTTCTTATGTCCTGAACAGTGTGTCCTGCTGCGTGTACTGTACTGTCTTCAGCATACTGATCCAGTTCACCATTCTCTACTGTGCTGGACATGTCGTTGACGTAAATGCTGTACAACTGAGGTCCCAAACAACTTCCTTGTGGAACTTCACACTGTAGTACACGTTCTTTGCTATAGGCTCCGTTTGCATACACCTGCCAATTGCGTTTGGACAGGTATGACTTGGTCCATGACAGGGCTTCCTCAGAGAACCCGTATCTTGTGAGCTTCCTTAGAAGCAGGGTGTGGTCAACCAAGTCAAAAGCTGCGCTGTAGTCCAGCAGCACCACTGAAGTCATCAGCCCTTTGTCCATAATATCCAACCACTCATCTGTCATCTTCAAGAGAACCGTTTCTGTAGAGTGTAGTTTTCTGTACGCATGCTGTGCCTCAGATTGATGACCTGATTGGGAGAAGTATGACACGATCTGTTCACTAGCTATTATTTCACACACCTTGCCACAAGTTGGAAGGAGACTTACAGGCCGCGAGTTCTGTCCAGACAGTGGCTTACTGCTGTCTTTCAATAGCGGAATCACTTTGGCATGTTTCCACTTTGCTGGGAAAGTCCCTTTTGCCAAAGCCTTTTTTACTATGTAAGCCAAGGGTTGTGCTATGATATCTGAACAAATCCTCAGCAGTTTGTTGTCTATTCCATCATAGCCCGGGGCTTTGCCATCTGGTAGTCGTGACAGGATTTTGTGCACTTCCTGCGCTGTGACTGCTTCCAACGTGAAAAGTTTCTTCCCCGTGTGAGTCTGCGTGTGAGTCTGCATGTGAGTCGCCTGCCCTGGATCTGAGCAAGTTTCGTCGAGCAAATGACGTACGTTAAGTAATAAAGGAGATAACTAAATTAGATTTACTGTAAAATTTCTAAAAATCCAAAAATCAAACCTTATTTTTTTATGTTCGAGGCCCCTTAAAATCAATTGTTTGGTTGTCGTAAACCCTTCTTGAAATCGGAAATTGATCTCATTTGGAAGAAAATGTACACAAAGTTGAGCAAAGCTAGCGAAAGATTATCATTTAAGGTAAGCAAACTCACTTGTTTAATTCTATTTTGACGAGGATTTACTTTCCAATTACTTTTGTTAATTTTTAAATTCTACCCGTTTTCCCGGGCCAACCGAGGACTCCCGTGCGGCCACGTTCGGTAACCCGATATGTCCCTAGTAACACGACTTTTAGCCTAGCAACCGACCGCCATGTACACAACAAAGATCTAATAATTTTCCTGATATTTCAATGTCAAGAATATACTGCATGCTAGTATACTTTAGATACCTCCACACATGTAGAGATAGGAAAAATATTGGGTGCAAAGCCCCAAATTTGGGTGCACCAAGGTGCACATACACCCAGTATTTCGAGCCATGCGGGTAGGAAACAAGAGCTGGCATGAGCTGGAGGTAATGATTATTGATAGTTTACTGTTCAATAGCATAAAAAGGGGCATGTGTGGTGTAAATCCTAACCTTACATGAGTTACAACATATTTTATTAAGGATGATAAAAAATGTATTTTGGTGCCGTAGGCACTTCAAAAATGACTAACATTCAGAAAGACAAAATCTCTATCTGCTTTCATTGGTTCTGATAAACCCCTAGTACACCCTCTCAACTTCAATATTAGCCTGCAACGGTTGGTCTTTAAATCAATGGAACTCATGCCGTATGAAAAATATATAAAACGTATGTTCATGTCTTTATCAAACTTATCTGGATAGCCACCGCTATTTCAGGAATTTTCAGCCAAAAATGTTTGATTTTCAAGGGTTTCTGAGGGGGTGGGAGAACCCAATAATAAAAATTGGCTGGGGTATTTTAATCGTATGGCTGATTTTAGCTGTGCATAACTATTTCAAGGTTTGGACCGATTTAACCAGACCCACCATCCGACTCTACCTATTGTTTTTTCCCTGTTTTCTATTGCAAATGCATGGTTTATTTAAATCTCAAGACCGATTGATTCACTAGATTTTGGCATGGATATCCTCTGCATAGTTCAATAAGTTATTAATGGTTACGACAAAACATATAGCCAATCTAAGCAATCTTGCATACATCAATTAAAGTACTGAGTCTACAGACACATTAAACATGTTTGTAAACTCTTAAAACAAACAGACCAAACGGGATACGCAATGTGTATGTTCTATCGTTCAAGTGTTCTCTAAGAATACAAGCGTTAATACTCCAACACATGTTCCACACAAATACGATTTTTTTTTCTTTTTCTTTTCCTATTTGCCCAGAGTAGGACAATACACCACTTGTAGGCATTGGAATAATTTCGGGTTTATGGAACTGCATTTCTTCTCTCTTAGTAAGAAAGACCAACATTTCCAATTTGTAATATATTTTAAATGTTGTTGTCCAAATTCTACTACGCAATTTGATATGGTTCAGCCAAAGCAAAATTTTAAGTAGGCTTTGGCTGAACCATATTAAATTGCGTATTAGTATCTGGACAACAATATTCAATACTTTCATTACATTTTTACACTTTCATTTTTAAAAACGCCTACCCGATTTGTAATGAAAGTATTGCTACGCATTGGTCGCACTAGTGCATTACAAATTTTATTCAAGAAACCAAACATGTACATGTACATAGAGTTGGAAGTCGCCTGGATCAGGATTTAGTGTTCTGTCTCACATGTTAATAAACAAACCTACCTCAGCCCTTGTCGAGGTAGTCGATGATCTGCAGGTCTTCCTCTTAATGTCATTTTTAATTGATTTGAGTTGTTCAGTAGTCCTGTTTCAGATGGAAATGTGTTTTAAAGTAAGTCGACATATGTTTGAATGAATATGGAAATTTGTCCTTGTACAGTGCTGTTTCGAGTCCACGGTCCTGTTTCGTTTAAAATGTTTACGACAATCCTTATTTTGGTGTCTTCCTTCAGGGTAGACGTTTGGTTCACTGGATTGTATCCTCTCCCCATGCCAACTTCGTACGCACAGCTGGCCGGTTCAAAGTGCCTCCTGATGTTGCCTCGTCGATCTCGGTGTCCAAATATAGTGTAGGGACGTCTGTTGTCTCGGCATCCGTCTGTAGTTGACCGGGAAGCGTTACGGTCATGTCCTCCTCTTTGTGATGCGGTGTTGGCTCAGCGTGTACCTCTGCCGTCACTGTTAGCCGCGACGGTCGGCCTGAAGCGCTCTCGGCCACGGTACCCTGTTCGAGGCGCTGGTCCAGGAATGCTTGTGTGGTCTGCTTTCGTGCTTGGTCGGAAGGTATGAACTCCGCCGTCGGCTGGATGATCGTTCCCTCTGAAGAGGTTTGAGCTGGAGCCAATTCTGAGGCCGGCGCACCGCGCCTGGGACCGGTGACGGTGGCCATCTCCACTTCGTCCTGACGATGACGCCGTGCCGGTACCGCCGGTGGGTTAGCGTTAGTCCGCCATCCGCACAGCTCCCTGCAGGCTCGGCGGAACTCTGGCAGCCGGAGGCTGTAGATGACGGGGTTGGCCATGGATGATAGCGTCAGGTACAGGAGGAGGGCCACGCGTGCAGCGATGATCAGGGCGCGTTGGGACATCTGTTCCTCACTGATGACAGCTCGTAGCGTGGCTACGCGGAAAAGGGTAGTGATTAAGGATGCGGTCAAAACGATAGCATGCGGTACCATGACTTTGAATGCCTTGGTCTGGAACACCCACAGTGCGTTGATTCGGACGGGAATCAGGCAGCCGGTGAAGATGATGTCGTCTACCGCCAGGTTACACCGTAGGAAGTGGCTGGGCTTTTGCAGATACTCTTTCTTCCAAACCAAGAAGATGAGCAGCAGGCCGCATCCCACAGACAACACCAGGCTGATGATGAGATATGCCGTCTGCAGATCGCGAGATGTTGAGCCGATGGACAGAACATGGCTGATGCCATCTTCTACTGGCGATCCGTCCGTTTCTTCTTCCATGTTGGATGCACGAAAACACTTAACTTAGCGAGGAATAGTGTTCTTCTTTCTGGTAAGCAGAACGCAGCAGACAGCAATGTACTCAATGACATGTACTTGCTAAGGACAGACAATTTATTGAGGCAAGCAATAGAACGTGATATCTTAGCGAGAAAAAATGTTAAAAAACAGCATTTCTATACGAAGCACCTTCTGATGTCAAAGTTACTCAGCAACTGATTTATACATGGCATTTTTAATAACCTTAAACATTTAAGCCTTTGTGTCTTACTGTATCTATCCTACGTCATTAGATGGCGCCATTTAACAATCAGAGAATTCTTGTTATTTACGCCTAATGTAAAGCACGGAATGGCATCTCACAACAAGGTCATCTGACGTCATGTATGAAGGGCGCATAAAGGTTTGAAGTAAAAGCTGAACATTATTAAAAATGCTTGCGGTTATTAGATATTAAACATGAATGCATGTCACAGCACATCATCAGAACAAAATTTCAGAATAACAACAACAATTTCTTAGGTAAAATGACTAGTGAAAGAGTACCTCTCTGTTCATTTGATGTACACTATTTTTCTTTATTTTGATATCCCATGTGTTTGTTTGTTTATTTGATCGATCTCCATTAGTGCGTACAATAATAATACAACACTAGTCTTCCTGGAGTCGTTTGAATACAAACACTGCATTATACTATAAATACATACATATACAAGAAGCGAACGTAACTTAAATACAACATGGCAAATAAAATGCAACATAGCAATGAAATGCGACATGGGAAATGAGAATACAACATAGGGTATAAAACTGCTGAGAGGTCAGAGGTCTCAATACAGTTAAGAACAAGTAATTCTATACATCAGTCGTCGCACTACCACCATGATTGCAGAGGTTGGGAAGTGTCCACTTTAGTTTTCAGCCAATCCCTGATATGTTTTTTAAAACTGTAGGTGCAGACAATCTGATGTGTTCAGGAAATAAGTTGTAAGTTTTGATACATCGATACAGGAATGTTCTTTTGGCTGAGGCGGTTTTCGGCTTTGGCAATTTGAAGCCACCTCTGTGTGCTAAGCGAGTGTTATGTTGATGTGTGTCAGTGACTCTTTGTAAGCGTTTGAAGATGGATTCTGGTCGCTTGGCCGTTAGAAGTTTATTAAACATGGAGAGTGTTCCTGTGTACAATCTGTCTTTAACATGTGATTTCCAGGTGTGTCCCTTAGCAATGGTTTCCTGACGTTATTATACGTAACGGAACATATCTAACATAATGTTACGTACGTACGTACCGTGGTGCGTTTTGATGCGTTATGCGATGTTTATACTTTGCGTTAACATAACGTAACGTCGCCTACGTTACGTTAACATAACATAACCTACGTTACGTTACCATAACTTATAACCTACGTTACGTTAACATAACATAACCTACGTTACGTTACCATAAATAACCTACGTTACGTTAACATAGCATAACCTACGTTACGTTAACATAACATAACCTACGTTACGTTAACATAACATAACCTACGTTACGTTAACATAACATAACCTACGTTACTTTGTGAGAGGCGTGAAGGAGGCAGTTTACATCAGGGCCCACCAACCCTCTCTTAACCGTGATGGTGGGAGATACCGTCTTCCCGCCACTTTTGATGCACTCCTGACGTCATCACGTTTCCGACTTCCGGAAAGTCAGCGACTGCATCACAAATCTGACGAAGGTTGACGGGATCAGCCAAAATTTATGGTGAGTTCCCTTTTGTGTTGGAACAAGTCAAACTCTTTAACTAACCTACGTTAACATAACATAACCTACGTTACGTTAACATAACATAACCTACGTTACGTTGACATAACCAGCGTTACGTTACATAACCAACGTTACGTTAACATATAGATGAAACGTACGTGACGTATTGACTTAAAAACGTGACGTTTTTTACGTTCGTAATTTTGACACGGAAATTTCAGAACCATATGACGTAACGTATCCACACGTTATGTCATACGTGAACGTTCACCTAGCATACGTAACGTATTGACAAAAAAAACGTGACGTATTGACCCCAAAACGTGACGTTTTTAACGTCCGTATTTTTGACACAAAAATGATGCCATAGCTGGTTCAGTCGATCACACGAACTAATGTGCACTACATTAGTCCGGCAGAACCTCAAGCACACAGCATGCATTCTGAATCCAGCTTTATTACAAGATTGTTAATTTCCTTCTCTTCTGAGGCAACTTCACTAAACGTCTTATCCGAGGGACGTCACTAACCAAAGCTAGGTACCCATCTTTACCTGAGTGAAGTGAGGAAGGTTGTGTTGAGGACCTATTCGACCGATGGGTTCCGGGCCAATGCCCTACTTTTGAGCCACACGTGGCTTTGTAGTTATGAAAGTCCCATTTCCCACTCACACCAACAGCAAACACACAGACAATCCAAAACAACACTTTCGTACTCGGGGCAAAATAGAATCAGTCCTCTTATTTCTCCCATCTCCCTGTACATGGGCCTGTTGTAACTAGAACCGTACTTTATCCAGATCCATGCTCACACACTGTTCTAGATAGTCTATATGTACTGTGTCAGGGACAAGTCTAAATTCCTGGATACGCGGAATCTATCCAGAACCTTGCCTGACCCTAACCCTGGCCCACGCAGGCATAAAGGCACGGTTCCGGAAACGAAGGGGCCGTCCGGGCGGATTCTCCCCTTTGCCCCCGATGTTTGACTGGAGACCGAAGTATGGCCGGTATAAACAAGCCTGGTGCAGAGGCTTGTACAAACATGCTATCAGATCGACCTGGAACATTTCAAGAGGAAAATCACGGAAGCCCATAGGTGAGTATCAACAGCTTCTATGCCCTGCTTAAAGTCTCTGTCAAACATTCAGAACCTGCCCAGATCACGAACAAAGCAATGTTGCCTGAAGTTCGGGAGCAGTCTGTCCATATCTTGGCCCACCTTTTATTGTTAAATTCGAACGATGCAGACCTACTCCCAAACAGCATCCAACCAAACACGGGCCGGTTGAACCATAGTCCACACCTGAATGTTTCAACGAAACATTCGGCAGGAGCGGCCGAACTGGAGCCGACCTTGCCGAACACCAGCTAACCACAGCCGACTTCGTTCACAACCTACTCCTTACCATGGTTGGGAGGAGTTCGGCGGTATAATCAGCTTATAATGTGTGACATGAGCTCAAGGGCCCCTTAAACTTACGCCAGAATATGTTAAAGTCACTTTAACCTAGCTGTGAAGTTCCTTTTCTTTAGCATCCCGTCTGAATAATAACCTAAATATCAAATTTTCTTTGTTATAGTTGATGGTTTGTCAATCTGTTGCAAGTGTAAGTTTAGTCTTCAAGATAATACCTTAATACGCTTGGGCAGTGTTTTACACTGTACATTAAGCGTCAGTATGTGAAACCTGTCATGTTTTTAATGTTGCGTTCTTCGATACATTTTCCTAGCGGACAGAGCAGCCTTGCATTTTTGACCCACATTTTAAATCATGTTCGTTATGCTCTCGTTTTCCAGTTTGTAATGTGATTTGTGCCATGTGCCTGCCATCCTCACCTTTATGCATTTACCACAGAAATGAAAATGCTTACAGTATTTAACATTAAAACATCTTGACTTGGAAAACATCCATGTCTCAGTCATGTTGTGAGGCCACCCTCTTCAAGGAGACCACCTGTCCAAGGGGGCCACTTTTGTTTGGTCCCCTGGCCATGGGTGGTCGCTTTGGACGGGTTAGATTGTATCACTGCCAATACTCGTCACCATTCCTGCGTCTCTACACCCAGCCATGGGACCGGGTGTGCAGCTCGGCTGCACACCTGCAAAATCGGCTTGCACTGGATCCGTTCCCCCTGTCAACATGTCAATACCTGTTTAACTACATCATGCCTGTGTCCCTTAGAACAGTGTAAGCCAACAGACCACAGTTTATTTTTGTACTATACTTATACGTGTTCATGCCTCATGTATGTTATGACCTCTCACCTCACCTCACCTCACCGGTCCCATAGCAGTCTGTCCTGCCGTCGGGGCAACTAAACTGTGTTATGACCACCATGCCAATATCACCTGAAACCCAGGCATGAACCCAACGCTACGTTCCGATATCTTAAAGGCATCCAAAGCATTTTCCGTGTGGCAAAACTGGGATTTCAAAGTCAATTTTCTGGTCAATATTTTAAGGTATTAAATTTTAATTTACTACCATAAAATCAATTCAAAAATCAATCCTGTCCCATTACATATAGTGAGGCAAAACTGCGATTCTAATGACAGAGTTGTTGGTTTTGTAGGTTTGCTCTAGCTATTTATGGCGGTACCTCACGTAGCGTGTTGTCTCACTTGAAGCCTTTCAAAAGCTTCAGGTTAGAGATTATGACAAAAATGCGCTACAAAATGGAAGTACTTGTCAGTGACAGATTTCCTCATTCAGAATATATGTGTTTCTTTTTGCTGCCAGGAAATTTCATTTTCTTCTTTCTCCCTTGTTTGTCCCGGTCCAGCCATGCACTCCGCCCTCCAGCTCGCCGTCCTAGCCGCCGCGTTCCTCCGCCTCCAGGCGCTGACTCCGGACGAGATCGCGCAGTTCAGAACCACAGGAACGCTGGAGACAAACACAGGTCAACAACCGAGTTTTGTTATACCTCACTGAAACAATAGACGAACAACTCATCACTTATCGTTGTTAAGAATAGCTTTCTATGTGGTCCATAACGGGTCATTTTTGTAATCAATTGATTTGTGATTCATTACGTCTTGAATACCTGTAAACCTCTATAAATGGTACACAATCTAGTACCAAATACAACAGTAAACATGAGAAGTATAGATGTACATGTACATGGATGGTAAAGAGAGTCACTCAGTTACTCCATCCCTCCGTCCCTCCATCACTCACTCAGTTGTGCAGTTGGAAAGTTGAAGAGAGTACCTGATGGCGGCTGGTGATTATTAGATCGCTTAGAACACGTGAAGAAGAAAAACATTAAAAGCCAATATGAATGAAAAAATACTTGAGTTGACCAGAAATTCGAGAAACAAACGTACAAGTCATGTTTGTGCTAGGTTGATTAAATATTATTTTTGTTTAAAAAAATACTTAAGTTGCTAAGGGATTCGACAATCAACATAGCACAAATCACCAAGTTGATTGAAGTTCATTTTCCCGACTGTTTGCCTTCCCCAGGCATCGCTGGGTGGGTTGCGGTCGAAGACAACGGCAGGCAGCTCTACGTCACCAGTAACGGCATCCCTGACCACCGCACAGGCCCCTTCCCCGGTCCCGGTAACCCTAACACTATCCAGGTAAGCACCACCACACGGGCCCCTTCATCGGTTTCAGTGTAACCCTAACACTATCTAACTTTGAGTACCTACCTTTGGTTTGGGACTCTATGGGACACGTCCCATGTTTGGTGGAGAGCCACACTCCAGGCACGTTTAAGAACCTACCACATCTTTTGCTTTCGAAAAATAATATAGACATGCTCCGGTGTGGGTAAGTCCAAATTCTACTATCAATAATTTTATGATTCGTTATGGAAACAAAATCCCAGAACAAATAAATTTAACAAGTAAAATCTGAGATTTTATACCTCCAGGCTATTAATGTATATTCTTATATGTTGTTTGTTATGTATAGTTGATGGTGTTAAATTTTATGTGTTAGACTTAGCGTTCCAGGTTGTGTTGACACAGGTCAACATTTTCATCTGCAGCTCATAACATGTACTCACGAACTTATGAAATTCTATTTAATCTGCCACAAGGAACTCGTAATGAAACCGGAAATGACAACCGGAACCGTTAAATCAGACGTTAAAAATAACCGGTAATCAGTGTTACGACATACAGTCCCGAGGAAGCAAAACGCGGGCACATGGTCCGTATCCACAAATAATTCGATCGAAAACATAGTGACTGGGGTCCAAAATTTTACATACAGATGCTTGCTGCATATAGTACGCCAAATATACAAGGGCTTACAACAGTTGTAGTAATATAGGCACGTATGCAAAAGTTTGCATAATACACATTTGCATACTTGTGACTCGCTACCTTTACCCGATAACACTTCCGGGTTCCGGGATCGAGCTCAAAAGACACCAGAAATCCGGAAAGAAAAATATATTTTCACCAAAGGTTCTTTGAATTGTGCATATTTTCACTAAATCTGGCTATGCAGCCGTGGAAAATAGCGTTTTGGCGCATATCTTTGAACAAAGAATTTCTCAACCCTTACTCCCCTCTGTGTGAAGCGTAGGGCAAGTGGACCAAACCGATAATACCTTAAACACACCAAAGGTCATCGCGCGAGACCATTTTCATGGTCAAAGGGTGTCCAGGTGCAGACAAAAGTCTTAATTTTCATGCCCAAAAACACATACAACAAGAGTTCTGAGATCTCATATCTCCATGAAATATGGGCTTGCTTTGTCATACTTAATTTCAACATGTCCTCATTAATTATGCAAATGACATCTACATTAACATAATAGATGTATAGTGGTGTTAATCTTACACATGTCACGAGGTATAAAATTCCCATCATTCACCAATAAGGAGTCACAGAATTTTCACATTAATTATGCAAATTAGGTAATCATTAGCATAATCGGTGTTCCTGATGTTCCTCCTGCCACAGATTAAATAGATTACATGTATAAAAGAACTATCACTGTCCACGTGCGACACATTCCTTTCAAACTGTGCCCGATCACGATTCTCCGAAACCGCATTTATTGCTGTTTGATGAAAACACGCTAGATAGCGTGTCAACGGTCAGCGGTCAACGATCTGCTTGCTGGTGCCCCCCTCCCAGCGTATCTCGGCCGAATGCCGACGTGGTCCCGCCAGAGGCGGTGAAGCTCGTCCTAAAACGGACACATTTTTGACCATCACTGCTCTTTAAGTTGCTGCCGCGTAAAATTTGGCATTGCATACAAATAAAGAAATATCACCTTGTAATCCATGACCAGGCGAAGTTACATTGAAATCACATTGCGTTCAGACGCAAATCGCAATCGGGAAAACCGATTTGAAACCACCTCCAGAAGTGGTTTGGGATCGAGGCGCTTTCAATGTGATTTGGAGCGTTCAGATGGAGCCACTTGAAACCGGCTTCGGGAGAAACCACATGTAAAGCGCCTTCACTGACTTCATATGAACAGGGCCTATATTAGGGACTACTTAGGGACTATAGTTGGCCAGCCTGTAGCCAGCTGGCCCCCATAGACTGGTTAAGACCAGGTAGCCAACTATATCATTTTGCCCCTGTAAAAATCTGCTTGGAGATTAATTAGCACTTTCATAAAATGGACGAAACATGACAGACATGTATACCGGAGTAAGAATTGTTTGTTTTGTCACATAACTTTATTTCATAAATAGTACAACCTTATAAACAAAAGTATTGCACATTAATTTTGGCCCCTTGACCGATCACACCTCTATTCACCATCACCTGTGTCTACAATTTTTCATGCTTGAAGTCTGCGCTATTGCACGCTTGTTTCGTCCCGTAGAATTCTGTTGAATTTGTTCCATATGTACAGTATCCCCTTTTCCCTGAAGTCCTTCACTGTAGTGAACACCGGCAGCTTTTCGCACTCACGAACCAGGCTGGACAACTGTTGGACGAGCTTCTTGTCTACGCCCAGTTCTAAAACCACTGGCTCGGCCAGGAGCATCGGCGACAAGGTGGATTTACAGAAGTTGTGGAGGTCGTCTTGTTTCATAATGTTACGACATTGTCCTATGTCTTTGTTGCACTTGGAGGAACAGTCGTCATATGATCCAACCGTGCAGTCTCCGTCGGTTTGACACTCCCGGTGACTGAGGTACAGCGAAACCCGGTTCGTCGACACGACCGAGTCCATGTCAAGGTAGATGACCCGCCCGGAGTCCGTGATCCCGTAGTTGCCGAGGTGACTGTCACAACAACGCACCGTCATCCCGAACTGGGAACTGAAGTCGTACAGAATCCCAAAACACTGCCGGATAAAGTCGACCCTCTCTTTCCACTCCGGGAATCGAACTTGTACGAAGTTACGGTGAAGGTACTTTGCAGCCTGATCCCCATACTGCCGCAGCAAGGGAACCAGAATCTCATTAACACTGCCCAGAAAGATATCTGGTAAGACATCGACGTCCAAAATGTCATCATGACTGTCGAAGACCTGTGAGGCGGTGCTTTGCACCTTTTGCACAGCATAAAATCCGCCGCAGTAACCGTACAGATCTAACGTGGACTTGCTGTCGTTCAGGGCCAGTAACATGAAGAATTCTCGCTGCATCAGGAGACTGAACATGACTCTTCACTCTGTGAAATCTTGCCATCAGAGTCGCCGTCAGCGTATAACCTCGTCCTTTGCCCAAATCTGTGACAAGATTTGCTGTTTTCGAACTCCTTCATGCAAACTTCGTACGCATGTTGCTGTATGAGGTAAGAATAGTTGAGATGTGGGTCTGAGGGTCGGGGTCGTTGGATCATCTGGTACCAGATTCGGCTGGAAAACTTCAAGACGAACTCATCGGGCTGGTCAATGGGCTGGTCATGTGAGATATCCCATGGTCCTCCAGGCTCCAACGACGCGTGGAGGACGTGTTTCTCGGGCCGCATGCTGAGACAGCGGTGGACAGTGAGCCGGTCAGAGCACATGGCGTCACACAGCGGTCCCTGCACCTTCCCTTCAGCATGCAAGCCACACTGCCAAGAAATGGAAGGAACTTTACACCTTTCACCAACTCAGTTTCTTTCTACTCTAACACAAAATAAATGCCAATTTCTATACACACACTCACACACACACACTCACACACACACACACACATACATCATACACATGTACACATGACATACACACACACACAAACACGCACGCACACAAACACAAACACGCACACACACACACACACACACAAACACGAACACACACACACACACGTGCGCGCACACACACACACACGCACACTCACACACGCACACACACAGACGCGCACACACACACACACAAACACACGCACACGCACACACAAACACACACAAACACATACATACATACATCATACACAAAAAAACACATACTCACCAAACACATCATACATGTATTTTGGAAAGGTACAGATACTACCATATCCTGTCACTCCATAGTGCAATCACCAATCCCTCTCAACATCAGTAATGATTTTTCCCTCACCATGTATGTAAGGTGCTGTGTTGTACACTTCCCTTCTTAGTCCATGATGTTCATGAACAGCATCATGATCAGGGCAGCAAAGCCAGGGAACAGCAATGCTGTACACATTCTGAATAGCTTCCTCACAGGTAGCAGCTTCATACCGTCACCTGGACAAAAAGAGATAACTTAAGTTCTAAAACGTTCTTTTATTGTTACATATTTCTGAGGTAAAGGTTTGTCGGGTAATGCTTCAGAGTAGAAGAGTAAGAGTAGAAATTGGCCAAAATACACCTGATGACATGCCAGGGGAGTACAATTTGCACTCCCAAAAAAGCAAGCACTTATGTAGCGGAAGAACTCCTATATGGCATGTTATCTGTCATTTTCTACTGTTGCCAACACCTTCTGGCACCTGGAAGAGGATAGTAGGGGAAACAAATTTCACTGACAGTCGTCCAGCAAAGACCCAGAAAACCCGGAAGTGAGTTCTACACATATACACCAGACTACTACCTGCGAATGATCAATGCGTGCTCAAAATAAGCAGTGAAATAGTTTTATCCACCACAAACCTGCTTATGTGATTCTTCAGGACTTTAATCTGGTAGGGTTTCTGTACGACATTCCGGTAAAACCGGTTTACCCGCGGACGGACTGGTTTTTAGTACTAAGGATTTACTGGATGACGGGAAGGACATCTAGCGAGATAAAGGGGAACAGCATGGCGTCTTGGCATAGTGACCAAATTAAAGTATGATCGATCAAGTGTGAAATAGAAATACTTTCTTTACACAGAGTCTATTCCTTTGTCATAGAAGTCAAAAGATGACCGGGTTGATTTAAATTCAAGTCAAATGTCACAAGTGAGAATGATGATGATAAATTTCATGTCGATGCTTCGGAAGTGGCTAGAAATCGGCCAAATAGACAAATACTAGTAACATGTCAGGGGAGTTGGTTCGCTATTAAAGCCCAATGAAAGAGAGTACATTTGCCGCACCCGACTGTATTCCCTAAAAGTTAAATAAGGACAAGTACAATTCAGAACAACGGATGTAACTTATCGCAGTCGTTAAGTGCTCATCAACTTTTCCCCAGCAGGCCTCACGTGTTGATCATGTTTTTCCCAGATAATAACACAATTTAGGATGTCACTCAAGGCCTTAACAGGTGGTTAAAAGAGCTCCTGCTTTTAACGTAATGTAATTGTTAACGTGGTGATTGGTTGAATGGTGAGCATTCTCATGATGAACATACGTTCTCAGGTAGTGACGTGGTATTTTAAAGTTGTTTTCCTTAGACAAGCGCTCTTATTATATATAGTTTAACGGTACTCTTCGATCGTTCAGTCTAGAAATACTCACACTGTGTGGCTTCTTGAAACTTACGAGTCATCTAATATTGTAATGCAAGTTTGGCAGAATTTACGGTCAGTACCATAACAAGCCGCCAGGGGGCCCAAAATCTAATCATTTCGAGGCCTCATCAAGACCTACCCACCTACCAAATATAAAGACAATCCAATTAAGCCTTCTCGAGTTATCGTGTTTACAGACACACAGACGAACGCCGATAAAAACTAACCTTCTTGGCGTTGTCTTCATGTTGAGAGCTTTTATTGTATGTTATTTCATGCTAAAATAGAACATTGTCTCTTTGTAAACCATGCAGGAGCAGAGCTTCATGCTGAAAGTTCGGAAGACGCCAGTGTACGCGGACACCCCGGGCTGTCTGCCCATGGGTCCCGTCGGCCTGGCCATCAACGGCGTGCCGCTGTACAACCCGCAGAGCGCCCAGTGTGAGGACGCCGTCATTCACGAACGGTCGGTGTTGTTCACGCCATGGTTACATGCACCATCGTCGTACGTACGATCGCGAACTGAGGGTATTCTTGGAATATTCGTACATATTTGTCAAGTGTCCCTCAGAATTAAGCTGTCTTGTTGTGCTTAGGTCACGTTTTAAACCGGGGCCCGGCCGGGCAGTGTTATGGAACGAAAAGTATGATATAAAAGACAACAAAGCAGAAAAAGTTGAAAAATATTAATAATGGAAAGTTTTGGGAACTATTTGCATAATATATTATTGTTGATTCTTCGTTAACTTTTTGCATAATATATAAATTGTTGATTCTTCGTTACTCGAAACAGCCAGGTCGGGCCCCGGTTTGGAAATGTGACCTCAGCTTATAGAAAAGGCTGTCTTATATATATATATATAGAGAGAGAGAGCCCTGTCTGTGGTTTGTTCTGTCACAGCCTGCTTGGAAATTTTGACAGTACCATTTGAACAACACATTAAAACTATGAGGTCAGTATGCATTAGTACGACGCCCTAGTGCCAGACCTTAAAACTACAGGCATGACAGACATGATATAACATGGTTTTATATTAGATCACATTTTCTGAATCGCATCAGACTGGAAAAACAGACTTAGAGCATTCAATTTGTTCAAAATAAGTCAAAAGCATCCAAATATCTATTTGTAGACATTAGTCGCATAGCAATTTTATCATTTATGACGTCAGATTCGACCTGTAGTAAGTCACCAATTTTGAACACAAAATGCTCCAACACTACAAAAACAAGCTGTATAATGTTAACAGTATATCGTATATCGACCCCCTGGCACTATGCATCCTGTAAAAGGGGAACATGTGAATAACGTAAGACTCTAACCATGCTATGTGGGTTTTTTTGGCCCTAGGTTTGACTCTTGTCATGGGCACCCTGACATTCCCGGCAGGTACCACTACCACCAGAACCCCATCTGTGCCTACGTGCAGGAGGACGGCAAGGCCTCGCCGCTAGTCGGCGTCGCAGCCGACGGCTTCCCCATCTACGGCCCGGTGGACGAGACCGGCAGGACGCTGACCTCCGCTGATCTGGATGAATGCCATGGGCGCGAGGTTAGTAGTACGGTAATAAGGCGTCGCTAAAACTGGATTAGAACAAAGGCAAATGTAGTAAAGTTTCTTTCTTTGTTTGTAAAAGAAGCTCAAATTAGCCTGAAGGTCTCCTATCATTGAGGTAATGAGGGAAGAGGTAATGGTTAGATAAATATGCAACAAAATACAGTGAGTCATCATTTCAAGTCCTGATAAATCTATTATAATTTTATACATACGTGACACAAAACACATACATTAGGGTGAGAACTGGTTGTGTCCGTTCGTTTCTGATTTTGGTTACTTTATGAGTCTCAAAGTTTAAGACAAAGCTATTGTTGCTTGTCCCGGGTGTGAGTGAAGGCGATATTATTGACATTTTTGAGTCCATCACAGTCTGCAAACAATTTCATGGCAAATAATGAGCACTTGTGTGATGTGGTTGTTTATCATGTGTGACGTAACAAAAACAATAACACCTTCGTCAGCTCATGGTTCAGAGAGAGATAAAGATTTTGATCACCCCTATTATTTGATTTAAGGCTATGTTGCAGCGATAGTTTTGTGCGTGATATGTATCGAAGTCAGTATGATTTATGCATTATGTTATACAGAACAATTTTTTTTGCTGTAACGTCAGTACCCGCCTGCACAGCTATGTGCCGCTGTCGTATAGCACAGACTGTCCATATATGATTTGATGGAATGACATGTTCATACAATTGGCATGCGGAGTTTACAAGTGGTCCTATCACACATAGCCGAATATGCCCTCCAAATCACTACCGAACTCCTTCCAAGCATGGTAATGAGTATGTCAGGAGTAAGCTCGGTTGTTGGCTGGTGGGAGTACGTCGGTAGTGTTCGGGACGTGTTTAGGGGTGACTCAAATTTAGCTACAATCCCGCCGATTCAAATAAAACGTAAAAACAAATCGGGTGTAGACCAGAGGTTCGGCCATGGTTGGCTGGTGTTCGGGAGTAGGTCAGTATTGTTTGGGGGTCATATTTGACTCAAATTCTATTCTAATTCGATTGTATTCGTATAGAAAGATAGTCCTGACCTAAATCTAATCAGACTAATTCGTGACTTCATCCAACCTTGGTGAGTTGATGGTTGGAGGAAGGTCCTGAATGTGTGATAACGGCTTCACCTTACCCGTGACAGGTGAATGGCAGGTACCAGTACCACATCACGGCGGACTATCCCTACATCCTGGGCTGCTTTAGGGGCCGGGTCCTGCCAGACGCCGGGGTGGGCCGCCGCTGTGTCTGCCCCGTGAAGAGGACTGCCGCTCAGTCTCATCAGTCAGTTCTGTACCTGCTGCGTCTCATCGCTAAACAAGGGAAACAAACCACCGACTGAAAACACTAACATGCGTACAGACACGTGGCACGTACAGGCATGTATACAGACACATGATTTTCGACTATGCGGACACAGCCTACGGACACATACATTCAGACTGTACGGGCACACACTAACAGTTAGACTGCACAGATACGGACTTTAAGGACAAATACTAACATTTTGACTGCACGGAAACGGACTTAAAAGTCAGACACACACTAACAATTAGACTGTACAGATACGGACTTACAAGACACAGTAACATTCTTAGCATGTCATAATGACACACAGTAACAGACTGCACGGATGCTGACTTTACGGACAAACACTAACAGAGTGCACAGATACGGATTCACAGACACATACTAACAGACTGCACGAATACGGACCTTCAGACACACACTAACAGATTGCATACGGATTTCACGGACCCACACTACGCTTAGCCCTTATAAAGCAGCGCTCATGACATTTTTGCTAGGCTAAATTGACATAAGTCGTACAAACTGTTCATAGAGATGGCAATAAGCGATCAGTAACAAAAACTCAGTGGTGTCGTTTTTGCGTAATGTCAATGATACGGTCAGGAGGTTTTGTTCTGGACCTACGAGTTTCCACTTTCATAATCTGCTGTCAAATAAACGCATTCCAAATACTCGCGTTTGACGGAACTGCCTTTGATTTGTTTCACACCAAAACATAGGACGTAAGGAGGCAGGGCGAGAAAAACTTTTTCTGCTCTACTAAGTACTTTCATGAGGATTTCTTTTTGTGTATTTAAGCATGTGTTCCTATGGCCAGATTTAATAGTACTGTCTGCCCTTCATTGTGCTTGCCTATGTTAATTGTGTTTACACATTCCACTGTCGGGACCGTCTGACTCTCTTGACGGGGCCTGGCTTCGTCTGTTAGACCCCGCAGCTTGACCTCACAGGTAATACACACTCAGGTACCTTAGGCCACAGCAAGTACATTTTATGGATGACATCCTCCGCAGATTCCAAATCTAATGCGAGCAGACGAAAAAAGGCTGGCCGAAAGAAACAAGGTTCCTACATTTTAAAATTTTGACTCAATCATTGTACAAATGAATTTGATTCAGTGGGAACATCACATATCACTGTATCAAAGTAAGAAACAAAACTTTAAATCTGAGCATTTTCTTGTCTCCTCTCTTTATAGTTATCTGCCACCCACCTTCCAGCATGGCGATAGACATCTTTGCCCATGTTCGGCATGGTGACCACTGTCAGAAGGCAAAATTTTTATTTTTAATCAGGCGAAAATTTTTTTAATCGCGGGGGGGGGGGGGATCGCGCGGGAAGACTTACAGTTTATGTAATAATCAGCTCAAGTTCACATGCTCGTTTCCCTGTGAAACCCGCTTTCATGGCGGGCGTGTGAACTGCAGCCGACACACGGAACTTGTCGGTACCAGTCCATTCGATCTGACAAACTCAAACCTGACGTATTTCTTTCCCTTCACCTCAGTTTCCACATCGCTGTCGTGCACAGGAACCTCTGCAGCTTTGGAAAGTATCTTTGCCTCTCTTTTTTGTGGCTGACAAATTATAGATTATTCACCCTGATTGTGCAAATAAGATCCTCATTTTCATGAATTATATCAATTTATCATAGTCTCAATCAAAAGACAGTCTTATATTAACAAACAATGCCATTCTAGCATTTCCTAATAAATTATGCAAATGAAGTCCTGATTTGAATACATTATGTTTAATGATGTTCACCTTCACTGAACTTTCAAATACCACAAGTATGAAATTCCAGGCAGTTATCATTACATAATTATAACATTTTCTCATTAATTATGCAAATCAAGTCCTCATCCATTCACATAATCAATATCTTCCTGGGTTTCTCTCGTTCTCAACAATTACCAATGTAACAAGATTCAATAGTCCTATCATGGAATGCAGTTGATTTATAGAATTTCTCCATAAATTATGCAAATCACATCCATATTTGCTTAACTTACATAATCCTATCAAGCATCACGTAAGCTAGCTACATACAAAAAATAACGACGATCCGTCAACCGCTTCTTGCGTTATCATTTTCTGAATATTTTCAAACAGACAGCCCTTCAGTTCCAGAGCAAGCCGCTAGGGAGCCTAAACTCACGTCACGTCTTCCCCAGCACAAGAGCTACCGATCATTTAAATGTCGTCACCCTAGCCTGTCTAGATCACACACACACACACAACACACAAACACACACACACACTCACACAAAAAACACACACACACAAACACACACACACAAACACACACACACACACAACTACACACACACACACACACACACAAACAAACACACACACACATGTGACAACATCTCGATCACGCCTGTTGCGCAGTGAGGCTGGTTGACCGGAGGGCGCTAGTGGCGTTAAATCCTACCCATCTGGAAAGAGTTGTCCTCCATTGACAGGACGCACGGGCGCGCGGGTTAGGGTTACGGCTCAACGCCAAGATATCTTACTCACCAACTTGGCTTACCATAACATTGGGTGCACTGAAGTCACAACGGATACGATAACTGCATAATCGGGAACGGGTCATGTCCAGTAATCACTGCATTCCTCTGTTACCTTTGATAGAAAATATAAAATTGTTTGACTTCGTCATTCATTCATGTCAAG